CAATTCAGCAGAACATGGTAATGTAGCCCAGTAAGCCATGCTTTATTTTCTCTGTCTATTAAAGGCAGGATATTAAATATTGATATTTTCTCATAATGTTCTTCCTTGACTTCTCACACATTTACAATCAGGCTGAAGGCTCATTTTACAATCTAACTGCATTCCACAGAAGTTTCCTCCATACACCAGACTTCCTGCACAACTCTGAGCAAACCAAAGCTCACATTCTGCACCTGCAAAACAAGGAGATCATTCTCATCTTTCACAGGATCACAGCAGTGATACTGGAGCTTGCTGCATGCTGCCAGGTCCTTGAAGCTCCTTGTAGAATTGTAATGGTCATCATCCTCTCCACCTCACACAGATGCAACCTGAATGGCACCCAGCCAAAGCCAAGCTTTTAGGAAGGCTCCACTTAGGCTTTGTGGGTTCCTTATCACAACCTACACGAGGACCTGGAGGAATTCTACACCTCTGTTAAGCCTTTTAATGATGCATATGACTGGGGATTGTTACTTAAATACTCCCAAGTACTGTAATTCTCAACCTGAAGGGAACATTGACCCAAACTGTTCTGGGGGACCCCAAGCAGGTCCAACAAGAGAAGGAGCACAAAATGAACCAGCAATGGCGCTTGCAATACTACTCACACTTCTCTCTCACAAACACACTGCTGTGGGCATTGCAAAAATAAATCCCAATAGATACCTTTCTAAATAAATAGCCATCAAAAACTAAGTATTAACATAGACATTTCTATAAAATTTCTTGCTTGCACTACAGTGACTAATTAGAAGTTGTACCCACACAACAGTGTAATGGAATAAACTAAGGATGCAACAGCACTAAACTACCTGAAGATGTTATTTCCACAAATTCACAGGTAATTGAAACACAGTATTTTCCTAGCAGCTTCTACTCTCTCTTCCTCACCATGATTTCTGAATGTTTGTGGACCAATTTGAAGAGTATAGTAATTATGAACTATCTTAAATTGCAACTTAGATAATAAAATTTTGTTAGTCTACCTACCTCATTTCCAACTCCGTAAGACAGTTCTGTTGCAGTTGAGACAGCCACAACACACAGAGTAACACCTTACCACTGCAGAAGGCTTCAAGCCTCAGCCCTTCTTGTTCTTTAGCCCAGCCTTTTACCCCCTCACGTTGATGCACTGCCCCTGTGTGCCCTCTGCTCCCTTTGTGGTTGGTCAGTGCCCTGGGCACTCCATGGCTCCTTGCTGTCAGTGCTGCTCACCTGCTGCTCACAGCTGTGCCCACGGGGGATGAGGCTGGGCCAGCCCCACTGCCAGTCACCAAAACTGTGTGCCTGCAGCACAGCCCCACTGCCAATCACCAAAACTGTGTGCCTGCAGCACAGCCCCACTGCCAGTCACCAAAACTGTGTGCCTGCAGCACAGCCCCACTGCCAGTCACCAAAACTGTGTGCCTATACATCTCTTTATATGTTATGCATAAAACAACTGCTGAATTTTAATCACCAAGTTAGTAACTACACTAATTACATGTTTGCAATCTTTAGGAGAAAAGACAGCTCTAACACTGTCTAGCACATTTTTAGCTTATTACACTACCAGTTCCACAAGTTTATATAATTTAGGCTGGATTTGGCCAGTCATGACAAAAGCAAGCACGGGTAAAGTGACCAGGGACATTTAAGTGTGAAAATACCATTGCTATGAAGCAAGGACAAAGAACATTTTGAATTTTGTTCAAAAGCCTAGGCATCCTGCACAGCTAAGCTTGTGCCTAAGGGCCTGTTAAAATGATCCACTATTGTTCCTCTCATCAGTGACTCTTACCTTTCCCTCCTAATGTTAGTGGAGCTCCAACAGGTATCACAGAAGGCATTTCATCATAGTTCAGAGACTACACTTTCCTTAAATCTTTTTACAGCCACTGGCATGTTGCCCATCTTGATCACATACCCCTAAAGCACAGTCCAGATTATGCTGTCCAGAACAGTATTCTTCCAATCCTGATTTCACTAGATCACAACAGAGATTCTTTTTGAGGGGATTGTTTCTTTATTTTTAAATCAGCTACCCAACAGAGCAAGTAGAAAAGCTACCTAACCAAAAAGGCTCTGCATTGTGAGGATTAACAACTGTAACTACACTGCAAAAAGCATGTTGTTATCCTACTTCACACTTGAAGGAGTTTCCACTCAATCTTCATCATCACAAAGTACAAAGCTCCAGCCACCAGCATAGGAAATTTCATCAGTCTTAAACCTCAGCAATTTTAATTACATCTTTGAAAAGTCCTACCAAAAGCTTTCCTGACTGAGCAATACTAATCCTCAGAAAACCTAGACATTTCTCATTTTTTCTCTCTTTTTCTCTAATTCCATGTGGGATTTCAAGATCTTTTCAGCAAAAGCAGTTTCAGCACCTGATCAGTAGTTTACAAACCAGAGACATCAACAGGTAAAAGGAATCTGCACTGCAGTTGTACACATGGGGCAAACAGCTACAAGCAGTCTTAGCTACTACTGACTCATTTAACTCCCCTTAGCTGTTTGTCACCTCCCCTCAGGCAGGGGTCCCTGACCTGTCAGCAAAGCTGGGGGAACACAGTGTGAGTAACCCTCAGTATTTTCAGCTTGAATTTCAGGGGTCTCCCTCAAACTTCTTCCTCTGGTGGTTTGGTGTCATTGGACTTCAAGGGAAGTGTGGATCACTCCAAGATCCTGCTCTGCCTCCCTCGTTACCTCTCCAGCTCTTGGCAGCAGAACAAAAACCTTCAGTGCTGCAGCTCTTTGCTAAATGAGTGACTCATCACTCAAGTTACAGATGAGGAAAGTCAAGGTTTTGCAAGTGTTGTGCTTCAGCAGAGGTCAGGCCACTGTTCAAACATCTGTTCATGCCGGTACCTAGGGCACAGCCCCCTGGCAGCTGTGCAGGCCATCGAGACCCTGTGGGCAGCACTGCTGAGGGAACAGCTCACACTGGCCTTGACTCTGCAAGGAAAAATGGAAACAAACAAATACAGCGAGTTGCAGCTCTCCACAAACAAGTGCAATAACCCACAATCATGCCATTGGCTGGAATTTCATCAGAGGAAATTAAGTTTCAAACAAAATCAAACACACTAAGGTTGTCAGGAACAGAGTAAAAAGCAATGGCAAAATTCCACAACTCCCATGCTGTGCTGCAAACATGCAATCAAAAATAAAGTTTCATTATAAACAGACAACATCATTACAGCCTTTTTTAATTACAAACCTTCATCATTATGGAAGAGAAAGCTGTGCTAAGTAAGAATGGGGTGGGAAGTCACTGTTTTAAAGCCAGGGTTTTCTTCTAATAAAAATCCTCATTTTAACACCAAAACTTCAATGAGGAGAATTTTGTGGCTATCACCCCAAAAGAGGCTCTGTTTGTTTCTGTGTACAACAAAGCAGCCTCCACTCATGCTCTCAGTCCAGGCAAAAAGGCAGATGATTTCAGTTTATCTCAGTACTGTTTTTCAAAGCCAGGAGGAAATGCCCAATGGAGAGCAGCAGTTATCAGTGATCAGGAATGCAGGAAGATTTCCTGACTCTAAAGAGCAAGCAACAATTCCCAGAACCAAGGTAAACTTGGTTTTAGACTTCAGGCATAAGGCTGGGGGGTTTCCCTTGTAAAGATCTGGAAAAAAACAAGTGTCACTCAGCTGAGTCCTTTCTCCTTAATAGTATTTTTGGATGAGTCCTCCTCTCTTTTATTCATGGACTTCCAGGCTACCTCAAGTGGAGTTTAGAACCCAGCCTGCTTCCCCAAGTCTGGCCACTCATAAAACTGGTCCTTTTCTCTACTATAATGCAGGATGCAGTCATAAACTCCATTAAGTCCTGCTTGTATAAATAAACATTTACAATTAGATATTAGTTTGATACAACTTCAATTCCCATAAACTTCAATTTTTGGATAGCTTACATCAGAAGCCATAAAATATTTTCAGTAGTTTTTTCACATGAGTCTGTGTTACATATATATTGTCCTTCAAACAGTTCATATTATTAGACTGAAAATACTGAACAGGAAAAAAAGAAATCCCAAATTAGGACATTCTTAAAAATACCTTTCACAACTGAACTGCAATGTGTAGTAAAGGTTTCACTGCCATCTGGCTGCATTTAGAAAATATAGCAAGGAGACCATCACATACACTTAAGAATTAAAAAAAAAAAATCACAGAGACGTATTGCACGTTTGACAAAATCTAGACCAGCAAAAAGAATCCAAAAGTCTGTAGCTATTATGCAGAGCCAAATACCTCTATTAGCCTCACCAGGGACAATTTTCAAACTATGAATCCATTGGATTCAGAGATTTGGATTTTCAGCCCACAGCAGAGCCATGGGGGAACTGAGGAAATTCCCTATTCCTAGGGATACAGATATGTCCTGTAGAATATATCCATATATAGATAGATATGTAGATAGAAAGATGGAGATATAGGAAAAAATAAGGGGGAAATTACATCATAAATCGAATGGCAAGATGGCAGAGCGTATTAAAGACAATGAAGTAAGTCTTCTGCTGTGAGACAGAACAGGGCAGGCCTAGCATTGACAGGTTTTCCCATCCACCTCATTGTCAAGAACTGTTCTCCTTTCGTACGGCAAACGCTTCTGACGCGGCCTGACCATTTCTGAAGGAGTCTCCTTCTGCCTCTACTGTGTGCAACGTGCTCTAAGATCTGCTTTAACAGCAAGATTAGACTGGATGCTCTCCAGAGCTCCCTCTCAGCCCCAGCACGCCGTGCCTGTGGCTGTTTGCCGGCCGCGGGGCAGCCCTGTGCTCGGCCACCCCGGCTGGCAGTGCGGGAACCAGGACGGCCCCGGGGCTCCTCTGAGGGCGCCGCGACCGCCCGCGCCAGCCCCGGCCCCGCCCGCCGTGCAGCCGCAATCGCGTCCCCCGGCAACGCCGCGCGGCCCGCGGGGTCCGCCCGCCAGCCTGCGGCAGCGCCGCCGCCGCGTGCCGAGGGGCGTCCCGGGCCGGGCTGCTGCCCGAGGGGCTGCGCCGGCAGGTAGAGCCCGGACAGGGGAAGAACAGAGCGCCGGCACCTCCGCCCGCGCCCCATGAGCCGTACGGACCGCGGCGGGGAGCGCCTGGCGAGCGGTCCGTGGCGCGCTTCCCACACGGCGGCGGCGCTATGTTGGCCCGCTGCCTCCGGTGGCTCCGGCACCCCTACGGGCGCTGTAAGGAGGGGTGGGGGAGTTGCAGGGCAGCATACACTGCCCAGCCCGCAGCCCTCGGGCGCTTTGGGGTATACACGCTCCCCAGCCGCACCGCGGGCCCGCTGGGTGCCCCTCGGGGGCCTCCCGGCTGTGCCGCGCTGGCCGCGGCTTGGGGCGATGGGCGAGCCCTGCCTGACACGCGGGGCGGGACCCTCAGTGCGGGCGCGGGGTGCCCGGGAGGAGTTGGGCGAGGCCATTCTCACCGAGGGGGGAATGGGGTTGCTCCGCGCGCGGAGAGGCCGCGGACGGGCCGGTTTCTCCCCCTGCTCCCGCCCCCATGGGCCGCTCCGCGTTTTGGCGGGTTTTTGGCGTGCGGGTGGCCATCCCTCACGGCGTCTCCCCCGCTCCCTCAGCCATGCCCGCCTCCGAGGCCGTGCCGCAGCCGTCCCCCAGCAAGAGGCAGAAGGGCTCGGGGCCTGGAGAAGCCTCCGCACGGCTGCGCTTCACCAAGCTGTCCGAGAACGCCTTCGCCCCCTCCAGGGGCTCCGCGCGCGCTGCGGGCTACGATCTGTACAGGTGAGGGAGGGTGCGGGCACGGCAGCCGCGGCGGAGCCCGCGCTCGGTGCCGCCCCGCTCGGCGAGCCCCGGGCACGGGGCTCCGGCGGCTGAGAGAGCCCTCGTGGCCTCTTGCCGAGCTGAGTCCCCGGACAGTCCCGCTGGCCATGCAGGAGAGGAGGCCAGAGCTGATCTAGTCGTAGCTCCCTTGCTCCTCCATCCTTGACCATTTTCGGGTATTTGTGGTCCAGCCATGTTACAGCATTGATTTAATCAGGCACAGATGCAGTCGTTGACTGAAAGTCAGGCTTGACAGGGCATCCAGAATTGATGTTGCTGCTCACATTGGCCAGGTTGCCTTCCTCTTGAAAGGAAAAAAATGGTAGCACACGTGGGCCCTCCTTTCCAGCACTTGTGCTTTTCTGCCTTCCTCTTCTCCGGGGATGCTGCCTGCCGGAGGGCCCTGTAGCAGTTTGGTAGTGCTCCTAGCTGGAAACCGTGTGGCTTCATGTACAGACTTAGGTTTTGGTTTGAATTAATAACGGCCCTTATTCAATGGCTTTCACTATGGTCAGGAATACCTGTAGCTAGACCTGTGGTTGTTTGCATAGTGCTTCTGTGATCAAGTCACTCGTTTTGAACAAGTGAACTCTGCTGATGCCACTTCTAACTTACCCCTTTTAGTATTACATAGAAGAACCAATCTTTTTTCTTCCTTCACCTCTCTGACTTCTTTGCTGAAGATTTACTGCACCACACCTTACCCTTTTTTCTTTTTATCCCTTTCATCTCACCAGGTTTGTTTTTGTTCTTGTTCCAGTGTTGCACTGTAAACCTGGAAAAAGTCTGTTTTATAGAAGACCTTTCACTGCTTCCCAGCATTTAAAAAACAGTTCTTTCTCAAGGTCAAGACATGACAAGTATTGTCACCACTGCTTTTCATTAGGCCTCCAGTTGGGTAGCTTCAGCAAGCTCTTAAAATCTCTGTAGTTCAGAGTTTCCAGGAGAATCATGTGAATCATGAACTGTCGGACTGCTCAGAAAAAAAACATTGTTGCCTAAAAGTTAACTTAATACATTATTAATTTTGACTATAACTGGTTCATCTGCTGTAGAAAGTTTAGTCAGACTGTATCATTCATAAAGTTTCTGCTATTGCACAAAAAATGCACAACCACATTTACCTAATGGTTACTTTAAACTTGTATTTTTTTTTCTTACTAATTAAAAAAAAAAAAAACATTTGAAACTGGCAATTGCAGGAGTATGCTGTTCAAATGACACTTCTGGAATCTTAAACTAGCACCATCAGAATAGCAACATATTGTGTTCAGGATCTGCATTAAATTTTGCAAATCTGTAAATATTTGTGTTTAAATTTCATTGTATAAATTCCCTGGCTGTTTAATTCTGTGTAATTTTGTACCTTAAGTTACAGTAAAGAAACTTTAAAAAATATTCTATATAAACCAGTGTTTCTTTCTTTAATGTAGTGCCTATGACTGTGTGATACCACCCATGGAAAAGGCTGTGGTGAAAACAGACATTCAAATAGCACTTCCTTCTGGATGCTATGGCCGAGTAGGTGAGTACACAGCTGTCAAAAGGCTGCAGAGTCATTCTAGAGCAGGTTTGACAGCATCTTCGCATTCAGATTCTTCCTAAAGCTTTCAGAATTAGCACAGAAAATCCTGGCCTGGTGGCCGTGTGATTTACTTAATTTTGTGGTATTTTCCTGTTGCCTGTTGTCAGATACATTTGAGGTTTGGTGTATGTCGGGTGGCCAAAGGATGATCAGCAAAAATGCCTGTACTCTACATACAACTTCCTAGGCCCCACAGTAGTTCATTATTTGTATGCAGTTTCAGAATTCAAATCACAAAGACTAATAGATTACGGACATACAGAAAATGCATCCCTGGTTGTTTAAAAATTAACCCCAGAGTACCAGTGTAGTAGAATTTGATGACATATTGTGATAGAATAGTTGAGAGAAGCTGTACAAGATATTTTGTTTATTTTGTGCATTCTTTATCTGAATTATGTATAAATTCTTACAATAAAAAAGCAATAGCCACTCCAGTGGAAGAACATGATCAGAGTTTGTCACGTTCTTTTGTGTAAAAGAACACATGCATTTCTCTTATCCCAAAGAAAATTTTAAAGATCATACCATTTTTATTTCCACATCCCAGTAGCCTAAGGTAAGTAAAAACCCAAATCCCCACACATAATTTATCTGTGTATAACACTGCTTGGGAAATTCCTTGCCAGGTATTGTTTTCCTTCATAACTTAAATGGATTGACATAATACTCTTCTGAGACGATGCTGAACCAGTGGTAGTCACCAAAAAGAAACCAAGATTAGACAGTCTGTCTGCTCCAGTTGCCTTCCTCAGAGAAAACTACCCTGCAGTTGCAGGTCAAATAAAGACACATTTCCATTACTTAAAGATTGCAATTTTATTGTAGCCTGGTGCAGCTGTTACTCTGTTTAATATATATTTTACTGTAAAGTCTTAACAGTAATTCCTGTTATATGTTTATTTTAAAAAGACTGGAAACAATTGTCATTCCCAAGACTCTGTGCAAACACACTGTATAACCTATAAATAGTGTCTTTTTAAAGAAATAAATTGTAATACTTAAAAAAAAAATTCTTTTCTAGCACCACGTTCTGGTTTAGCTGCAAAGCACTTCATAGATGTTGGAGGTAAGCTTTTTGTTCTTTTTATTAAGACTTGGTGAGACTTCTTGATCACAGAAGTGCCTTAGTTTCACACTGTAATGTGCAAGTTCTTGGGGAGTCTGGCAAAAGGAGATACCTGGGTAACACCTGAGAGAGACAGGTCATCATAATTATGTTAACAATTTCTAAATTATAGAAAAGATTACTGATTTTTTATTTTTAAATAATAACTGTATCATACCTCTGTAGGCAGTGCCTGCCATAGAAGTTACTTTTTGGCTTAGGCATTAAAGATTACTTCTTACATGCTGGTTTCTCCATTTTTTTAACAAGCAAGTTAACTTGAGAATTACATGTTTTTCTAAATTTTCAAAACCCAGGGGATACTCCCCGTGTTACTAGCACCTTAATTAGGAAGCTGTTCAGAAATGCCATTGGATTAACCCAAAACATTACATAAGAGAGCTGTGTAAATACCTTTTCCACACTGGAACTAGTGCAGAGATTGCATGGTAACTATGGATCATATGCACTACAATTTTTTCAAAAGCTGAAGGAGCTACTTTAAAAAATGGGGTTTTATTCTTAAATGTGCATTTTGTGGTTCAACATCAAAACTTCAATGTACACTCATACTGCAGTTTCCCTGGTGTTAGTAATCTCCAATGGTAGTACTTTGTATAAGCTGGGGAGTGTCTTGCAATGGCATTTAATTTTAGTATTTAAATTATTTTTGCAAGTAGACTTCAAAATACATACCTGGGACCACAGGGAGGCCCAAACTCATGTTTTCTACTGGAAATACGTTTCTTCTACCTGAGAGAAAAACTCTGAAGAAGGAGAATATAATTATTTTAATGTGCACTGGTAGCAAATCTTCTGAACTATGTGGTTAATACAGTCATACAAAATACAAGAGTAAGCTAGTTTTATAGTCTTGGTGCTAGAATATAGCTGTATGACAGTCATTTCCTTACAGCTCTGATTCTGTTACTTTGCCAGAGGTAGAGGATTTGGATCTGTGCAAATCTACAGCTCTCAAATGAAATGTTAGAGTTAAGAACAGATTTCTGCTTGACACGGAACGAGCTGAAGTTAGCAGAACAAATGGGGCCTGAATTTAGTCAGCTGTCTTGATTTCAGATAGGTTTGCTAGTAAAATTAGTAGTACAGTGGTAAAGCATTTCTTGACATGTGATGGTGTTTTACAGTTCCTTTTGCAAGACTGATTAGCATTTTTAGATCTCAGTATCTGCATATATATTGTTAGTTGTGCATCAGAAGTATAAAGGATGTCATTATGAGATACTGTAATCATTTATTAATCTAAACCTTCATCTAATCTTAGTTATCTCATACACTGACATTTACTAACTGGGTATCTCTCAAAATTTCTCATGACAGCTGGTGTTATTGACGAGGATTACAGGGGAAATGTTGGTGTGGTACTGTTCAACTTTGGCAAGGAGTCATTTGAAGGTAAGTGTTAAGCCTGCCAAGCCTATTTTCAGCCATCTGACTGGGAACAAGAAACTAAGGGGGTTTTTCAAGTTTATGCAGAGGTAGAACTAGCTGGGAACATCTTTCCTCTCTCAGTTAACAAAAACATAGATACTTAATGTCCTGTCAAGGGAACATGTAAAGATTCTACTCATAGCAAATTAAGCAACATGCAAAAAAACTGCCCCCCAAACCACCACACCACTGCAAAAGCAAACCAAAACATCTCTACTTAGCTAAGCTTTAGATTCACAAGCTGCACTGACATGCAAATTTAATTAAGTTACTACCTTTCTCTGAAAAACAAAATTAGCTGAGCATTATTTGAGAAAAACCTTCTCCAGAATCCTGGGAAACATGAGTAACAAAGACAGCGTTATCCAGTCATTACACTGTCTTTCTGCAAAAAGTCAGTTTTAAGTTTCAGAGCCCAATTGCAAGAGATGTGCTTTTGTGGCCTCTTCTGCATCTTCACATCACAAGCTGCTTATGGAAGTTCTTTGAGCCAGGTTGGTTATTAGTGAGAAACTCGGTTTTCCTTTTATCAGTTTGCCTTTTTCCCCCCAGATTCCTGTGTCTAGTTCATAAAAGGAGCTACATTATCCATACAGCCATCTCTCCACCTCTGCAGTACTTGTACATAATGAATTTAAGATGCCAGAGTGTGGCAGCAGGAATGAATGGAAAGGCCTTGAGCTGCTACAGCTGCTGACATTCACCAAACAAAAGTTTATCTTGACCTGTATTTTTCTGGGTCTGTTAAAGTCTATTTAGATAAGTTTCAAATAAGTGTTTTCACTTTTAGTATATTCTGATATTCTTGAAAGGAGATTCTCTAAAGTCTATATTCATTGTTCACTTTTTTGAAGGAACTAATAATGTTTTAACTTCTCTGCAGTTAAAAAGGGGGATAGAATTGCCCAGCTCATCTGTGAACGCATTTATTATCCAGAGCTAGAAGAAGTTGAAGTAAGTTGACAAAAGAAAATATTTCTGCTTTTTCAATGATTATTAGTATAAGATACTTGTATATAAAAGGAAATTTATTATAAATTAAATTACTAAAATTACTAAATTTACTAAAATTACTTTCAGTGGTAAAACTACATAGCAGCAGTACTACCTGAATGAAAGTCTTGATTCTTTGTACATACCTGCATAGACTTTTTTTTCTTTTTTGTAAGTTTTCAGTTTTTGAAGAACAGTTCAGTATATACTAGAAATGGTTGTCTCATAAGCATTTGTTTAAGCTTGTACAAAAGATATTCTGAAGTGCCTCACATACATACATTTTTCTGTTTCTTAATTATAAGTCTTGTCACAAGTAAATGATAGACAATATTTCTTGTAGAGAAGCAAAAGGCAAGTTAAGGCACTAAACCAGCTTATCATAATTGATGTCTTTCAGGCTCTGGATGATACAGACCGTGGTGAAGGTGGCTTTGGCTCTACTGGAAAGAACTGAAAATTACTTGAATACGCTTTCTATTTTTGTTTTTTGCTATACTATTTCTAAATTTTCATCTGAATTAGAAATAGGATTTTTGGAGTACATAAAAATATTTCAAGTTTTATTGAGACTTCTCCGTATCTATCCTCCAGTGAATTTGTTTGCATAATGAGGAAATGTGCAGGACTGGCTTGACTTACTAGTTGATGTATTATTTTTTCTTTCAAGATGTTTGGTCCTCAGCAATGAGAACACATTGTTTATGTGGCAATTATACTATAATAAATGAAACAATAACTTAATGATATATTTTATTTTACTCACCTAAACTACAACAGCCAATTGTTCCCTTGCCAGTTTTTGCTGTCTTCCACATGGCTCAGGTTTTCACACTGAGAGCCTATTTCATGCAGCATCAGTGACAGTATTGATAGGACTTCCCACTCTGATAGCAAAATCAGAATAAGACAAAGATATTCAATATTGCATCCTCTACAATCTGTCCAAATACTTGTGTTTCTGTTCAAAGCTAAAGTTCTGACTTTGATCCTTAGCTGATCTTCAAGTGGCCAATTTTTCAGCTCTATTAAAAGAAAAAGCAATACAGTGTTTGAGTTAAATAACACAACTCATCTGGAAATAACTTCTGTGTAGTAAATAAGAGCTATGAATTACACTTTTGGGACATTTGTTACAAATTTATCAATATGTTACTGTATGGAAGAAAAATTCTGATAATTATTGAAGCAGTGCACAGTTTGGTTTTTTAAGTTCACTTTTGTCCAGTTAACAGAATTTTTTTTTAATCTGTCCTAAACCTGATCCAATAAGTGTGTGGAATTTCTTAAATGACTGTCTAACTTTTAGGTAAAAGAACGTGAAGAGAAGAAACAAAAAAGGAAAGAAAAGTGACTATTTTCCCACTTTCTGTAAAAGAATTAGAAAAGGCTCTGAAGCTCTCACTTTCTTCCTGCAGCTGTCTGTACTTTAAGATTTTCTTACCGGAAAGATCACAGGTAGGAAATACTTTAAGTTTTAGCAGTGGAAAGGTGTGCCCTTTGTATGCTGATGTTCATACTGCTCTTCTGCTGGGTAGTTTCAGCTCAGGATAGTCCTGTCAGTATTAGTTTCATATTCTTGTCTAGGACTATTTTTAGTGTAGTAGGCCCAAAATACTGCACATTTTATACATTTTATCCTGCCCACTCCTGCAAGGAGCTGGAAAATAAAGAGCAGCGTGACTGCATTTAGATCCCTTCAGCCATGGGATACTGGCTTGGCAGTGCTGAAACAAGAAGTAGATTCATCTTTGTCTAGGGTAGAAGCCTTTTCCTCCAGGTGCATGATATGCTGATCAGCCATTTTGCTGTTGGTCCTTACCCCTCCTCACAGCCCTGCGCTTGGATCTGTACACCCAGACAGACCATCAGGAGCAGGCACACCCTGCAACAGACCCCTGGAAGCAAGGAGCACATCATACCAGTGCAGTCTAAATGAACTGGGAAAACTGAGCTTGACACTACTTTTATTCAGTAACCTGCCAAAAAGGAACTTAAAAGCTATTTAAAGGTCTTAAAATCTATGATCCTTTTGTGAAAAGCTGTTTCCTCTTCCGGGACTGGAAGACAAGAGACAGTTTTACTGCAATTTTAGTTTCCACCTCCCAAAGCAAACACCCAGCAGGGGTTCCACTGATGCAAGTCCTTTTTTAAAAAAGATGCAACAAAAGGCCTCACTTGGAACAGCAACCTACAAGGAAGAAGTTGGAGTTCAGGTGATGCTCATTATTCGTTGTACCTGATGGAAACTGATCTGATTTCCATTTTTGAAAATAATGCTAATACTACAGATTCTGAGATAAGTATTTGCTTAAAAAAGCACAATCTCAGGAGCTATCTCAGACATATGAAGAAAAAAGAGATTTACATATGCATGCCTGCAGTAACTTGTCAACATTAAAGCCATTATCTGTCATTACCTGTAAAGGCTCACTTGTTTTGAAAATCGGTATGGGGGAGTTCCTTTCCACTGTTTCTCAGTATTTCTCTAGAGAAGTGCATCATGAGTTTGAGATTGCTGCAAGGCCCTTCCCAGTAAGGACCTTGAGAATGTTTATCTGAAATGAGAAATGCTTTCAAGCTTACCTGTACACTGAGCTCTCCCGTGTGCATCAAGCCATTGCACATGGGTAACGAATCCTGGTGATTCCTGTTAGGGTGTTGGGGTCTGTTTTTCTTCAATAGAAGTAGCAAATCTGTGAAAGACAAATATTTCTACCCAGGCAACAAGAGTTACCAATGTACTGAAAGTTCTAAAGTTGATATTGCTACTGTGCATCAAGGCCTGCATTTAAAACTTGTAGAAACTTTGTACTGGGACTGAGTAGAGGCTTCTTGAAACAGCATTTGCTACTCTATGGTTCAAACCAAGCTATCTACATCTTTTATTTATAGTCCCACAATTTCGTTAATATGAAAAATAATACCCCCCAATTATTTTCATGCTCCCTATAATACCCCTATAATGTTAGAAAAGTATATTATCTTGGTATCTGGCAAGAGAGAGAGGACTGGGAAACAATTTCTTTCTTTACTTTGTCTGAGACTTGTCCTACCTCCATTACCTAGTTGTAAATCAGTTTTGTAATTCAGTGACAAACTGCCTAAGTGTGTCATTGAGTGCACATGCTTCAGCTCAGCCAGTACCTTCAGAAGTTACCCAGCAGTGTGCACAGGGCTCACTTCTGTGTAGACAGATTCATGTCTCCAGAGCCTGCCACTGGGGTGTGATCCTCAGGGCTCACTGCAGGTATGAAACTGAAGAGATGTAAAGCTATTTGCAAAGTAACAAAATGATAATCACTTTAAGTAAAAATTACATTGGGCTGTTCTCTGCTATCACTGACCAGTTCCAGGCAAAGCTACTCTTTAATTCAACTACTCACATTTGTGAGAGGAGTTACCTAAACACTGAAGAACAATCTTGTGGAACATCTTCTGTGTAAATGAAACATGAAGACTATAAATTAAAAGAAATTTGTTGGGAATTCTTATGTACAGCAGAAAAGAACATCTTCCTGCAAGGAAAGGAGAAGGACATTGCTGACTAACAATCTACTTCCTTTTTTTTTTTTTAGAAATGGATATGACTTGTTACAGGGATAGAGATCTGGCCTTTCACCCCAGGTGAATTTGGAAGAAAGTTGAGATGCTTAGCCCCACATTCACCTCCATGGTTTGAGTTATATTATGAGATTTGAAAGGGTTCTATTTTTTTATTTCAGCTGCAATATTTACGGTAAACTCTCTGTCCTTAAAAAGGCAGAGGATCATAAGCTGATGAGGGTTTTGAAGGAACATGGGATTCCTATACAATTCCTACCACTTGAACTCTCCACTTTTGGACAAAAATCTTGTAACAAAAATTCTGGCAGTAACACCACTGCTACCATGGATCTTTAGTTCTTTCTTTCCCCCAGAGTGCTAACCTGGTGTTTAGTAGTTGAGAATTTAGGCACAGCTTCCTCAGCTGTTATATTACTCTATGACATGGTAGGTTTTTAAACTATTTAATGTTTTCTAGATCAGCCACTAGATGGCACTTAAAGTTTGCTTTCTTTTCCACTTCTTTTTCAGAGGTATTTTTCAAAGATCTGTTCATCTATAATTAAGAGTTGATGACTCCCACTGGGACTATGTTGGTGGAAAGAAAGATGCAGCAATATTTGAGTGAAAGCAGGCAAAAGTATAACCATTAAAAGGGGAACAATGACAATAATTTAAATAAGATTTGGGTGGTTGCCGTGTTTGCATAATCCCTCCTGGCATGCAAGAGCAGTAGAGAAGCCTGTGGCTTTTCTCTCCTGCTGCGTTTCAACAAAAATGGAAAATTGTAATGAACAGCAACATTTTTCCTATCTTTCATATTCACTCTGTTCTTGCTCTCTTCCTCCATTCCTTTAAGTGGAATGCTGACTACTTAAGGATTGCATTGTAATGAAAGTAATGTATAGCCTGGTAAACTCTGCATTGGATTTTCCAAATCAGATGCTTCTGGCTTGCAAGTTCAGGATATAAATTAAAACTTACTTAATACATGTTAACTCAGTAAGGGTGGGTGATATATAGTAACCTGAATTATGTAAATTAAGGTTCCCTAGTTTCTGTATTGTTTGCTGCTCCTGTAATAACACAGTTTGGAGCTCTTGTATTTGTCTTCCTCCTAACCTTCTATTTTTTTGTTTGTTTGTTAAGTTGGTAGTTTTTTGTTAAATAACTATCATTGTATTTTGGCTTAAAGATGGTTAAGTAAGTTTTGGTATTAAGTAAACTTCTATGACCCTGCCTATTTCCTGTCCTGTCAAACCTTTCCTTGTAAGAAAAACAGTGTCCTTTTATTTGGTGGAGTGTAGCATGATGTTTTTGGCAGGCACAACATTTTTGACTTGCATAAATTTGTGACCTCAAGTGCAAGAAAAGTAAATGCTTGCTTCAGTACCTCATGGTTTTTTGCCTAAAAAGAAAAGTGTCCACATGGCTAACCATTGCAATTTCTGAAGGAAAATTATCAGCACACTTATTCCACCTGATTGCACATGACTGCACTTCCAAAGAAAAGAACCAGCAATAAAAATAAGTATTTTGCACCTAGTTATGTAAGTTACCGAAAGCCTGAAAATATAGGGCAGACTGTACTGCCTTCCTGGTTTCTGGAATTGGCACACATGGCACTTCCCTCACTAACAGCTATTTGGCAGTCTCTACCTCAGTAAGGATGTGATTCTGCAAAGTGTAAATTTGGGTCTGCTGCTGGGCAAAGAATGTCACTGCATGGTTAAAGGTTGCAGGATCAGGTCTGAAGTGAATTTACGTAATTATTTTCCTAAACTTTCCCTCCATTAACTGTGTGGTTATTTAGCTCTTTACCACTGAAGTGATGCTTTTCCCCTACTCAGAACACAGCAAGAAAGGTTTTTACCCTGCCAAGTCTGAAAACCTGACAGATTAATTTTATAATTTGAGAGCTCTCATCCAGGAGATACTACTGTATTTTAACATGTAAAGTATGTTTAAAAAACACATGTGAGCTCTGTATGCCTACTTACTTGCTTCCCCTTAGATTTCAGTGGGATTTTTTTAATTGTCACAAAAATTTTATATTAATCTTCTGCGTTTTAGAGAACATTTGTATAGTATAATTCATAACAAGAGTTTTGTATCAATCAATACTGCTCATAGCCTTGAACTGAAGAAAGCTGTCTTTTGTCTACTATTGATTGTAGCAAAGGAATTTGTTTGCTTTCATT